AACCTTATAAACCTTCAAAACTTACCTGGTAAAATTTAAATGGTAAAATGCAAGGACAAACATTAATGCAATGCAATTATACTATATAAAAAAGCCCACACACAGACAGAAGATGCCATATTGCCATGAAAACTTTCTCTTGCAACAAGCCTTTCTCTGTTTAAATATTTAATCCTGAGGTTCCACTGAAGACTCATTGTTTGTCATTTAAACTTGAATTTGTTGTAAAATTCAATTCTAACTTCCACAACTCACTTTGCCTTATCTTAGAATACCATGGTTTACGTTCAATGAGACAGTACAAGACATAACATCTCAATATATGCTCCTCTTGACTACAGGACATTACTGATTATCAGCATCTGGTTTATTCTATACTAAATTCTGAATGCACTATAAATGTCCTGTGGGTAAGGCTAGGATTTAATATATCTCTTCACAAGAGACTGTGGCCACTAAAATCATACTTCAGACAAAATTATAACCTGCCTTCAAAAATAACTACTGTGTTAAATTTGGCATAAAGAAAGCAGTGACAACTGGGAATCTAAGTCTAGGTTTCCAGATGCCTTTTTCTCCTTTAAACAGTTTGTGACTTTTCTTTCTCTCTTCCACCACCTTCCCCCTCCCCCCCCAAAAAAAAAAATTGAAAAAACCACATTAAAGACTCTTTCTGACTGCCTGAAATTAGAAGAGTTGTCTGTGTTTAATTGCTTTCTGAAGGTATTTTGGGAACTAACCTCCTTTAACTTTGGCCATGTCAAATTCAAGTGTCTTGTCTAAGCTCATCATTAGTTTCCTTTGTGTACACCATGGAAAGAAAGTAGTACCTCTAGAGGGTGATTTGCGTCTGTTATATCAGATACTTATTTTCAGATGGATCCCTCAGGGGTGCTAGCTGTCTTTGCTGACTATAATGGAGTGTAGAGTTAGATGAGGTATATTCAACCTGGAAAAATCAGTAACTTTGTACCATGTGACATTTTTATCCCTGGATTAAACACTTATGTTTTCAATACAATTCATTGTGCTTATATAACAGATAATCCTACAGAGAGTCAATTAGTATCTTTAATACAGATGTTTAATATGCTTCAACAGCACACATGAGAGCCTATGATGATGTAATTTCTAGACTTTTAATGCTGGAGTGTACAAATATTTGCATTAAGATGTGCAACAACGTACACAGTCTCCCTCAGTTTATTAGAAATAGTTGTCCCTTCCCTAATCAAACACCACTTCAAAACTCCAAGGTAGAGAACAAAAGGTATTTTTATTTCCTCTTAATCAAACTTCAAATCAGAAAATCATGAATACTGTGTGCAAATGCTACCACTTTGTTGTTGAGATAGAAGTCTTAACCACACTCAAGAGGAGTCTAGAGGTTTTTCTGGCAAGAAGTTCTACCTCTAAGCTCACACTGCAAAGAAAGTTTGCTTTGCTAGCATCTGACAGTGAAACATGAGTCTGTTTAACACAGCATGAATATAGCTGCATAGTGGGAGATTATATGCAATGAGAAAATTTCTGACAAATGGCTCTTCTGCAAAGAACAGAGAACTGATCTTTGCAGAACACATCTTTGGTAATGAGGTATGCCGAGCATGCTGTACCAGTATTAATCTTCCTATAAAAGCCAGTAAATTGCACAGTTCAACAGCAGGATAATGAAAAGAATGCTTCACTGTGTCCAGGTGCTGAGCAGGTGGAAGTAAGTTGTTACATTTCCTTGCAATCTAGCCAGAAATTGGGAAGGTGTCTGCCAAAATTCACCGTTTCCCATTCTCCTGAGATCTTTCAGTTCCAAAAGTCACAACTATACCACATGACTCTTATTCATGTATTTTCTTCCCATGAAATCAAGGAGCAGTAGAAGGGTGGTGTATTGACTCAAATCCAAACCTAGGAGGAGAGATGTACTCCTGGACCCTGCAGTTTAGAGGCAGTCAGTAGGTTTCATCCCATCAGCAAATTAAATTACTGCCCCCCTGGCCAAATGTTCAATCCATACTGTTCTGACATCCATAGTAATGGAACATTGGTTGGATCTGATCTTTCATTACAGAATAATTAAAGTCTCCCTGGTCAAAAAAAGAATGAGCATGAATTAATGACAAAGTTATAAGGGCACTCACTAGAAAGAATGGACAGATGTGTAATAGTTTCTGCCCTGTTGACTACTCAATATAAAGTACTTAAATATTCAGTAGTATTTAAATATTCAGTAGTTTTGGGGTTAGTCAGCAAAAATCCTTCTCCTAGATGAACATTTCAATTACTGTGCAACAGGGTCACTCTTATACGTTGGTCCAGTGAGTGATTATTTCCAAATGAAGCAAAGCAGCGACTTCAGCAAGATGCAACAAATAAACTACAACACTAGGAAATTTGGAAATCTGATATTCAGAAGTGAAAGAAAAAAATCTTCAAGATAATCAGGCAAATAATACATCTAAACCCACATCCTTGTCTCTTACACTCTGTCTGAACACTTTGTTTAACCAAATGTAGGCACTATTACTTCTGACCATAATCTGTAAAAGAGTCAGCTTACGCATCCAAGTCCAGGAAAGGACTTAGGATCATGACTTCAGATCTCAGAAAGGTGTCCCCATGCTTAATTTTCTTGCAGCAATGCGATCTAGGACACAATGGCTTTTGCATTGGTTTGTCCTATTAACCTGCTCCCTAATAGTGTGTTGGCTTTTGTGTACTCCAAAGTGCTCACATCTCAGCTCTCAGACAAGAAAACAGAATCATAGAATGGTTTGGGCTTAAAGGCCATCTAGTCCAACCTCCCCTGAGATGAGCAGGGACACCTTTAACTAGATCAGGTTGCTCAGAGCCCCGTACAACCTGACAATGAATGCTTCCAGGGAGGGGGTCATCTACCACCTCTCAGAGCAACTTGTTCCAGTGTTTTAGTGCCATCATTGTCAAAAATTTCTTCCCAGTATCTAGCCTAAACCCACCATTTACCATTACTCCTTGTCCTACTGCAGCAGGCCCTGCTAAAAAGTTTGTCCATATCTTTCTTATAGACATCTCTTAATACTGAAAAGCCACAATAAGGTCTCCCTGCAGCCTTTTCTTCTCCAGGCTGAACAACCCTGTACTGACTGTACTCTTCACCTGATCCATATCCCTCAGGATTGTGAAGCCTACCCGTGCATACACCTAGAAGAAGATCTGCTTCTAGTTGTTGTGGTAACCCTTCTAATTCTGTAGCATCTGGAGGTAAAAATACTTCTTTCAGATTTAATGTAATGAAATGTTCAAAAATGTCACAAATTTCAAAGTGCTGAAAGACAGCAAAAAGCAGCACTGCCACCCAAAATCTTTTTTAGGACAAGTAAGGTAAGCCATACAGCCATCTGAGCAGAGCAAAATCTTTGCTAAATGCTAGACTGAAATTTAATATGGATGAAAACAGGAGAATAGCAGAAACATTTTTTACAAGAGTTGCTCCATGGCAAAACCTGCCTTGCTATCCAGAGCTAAAAAATAAACATTAGAGACAAGACTACCTGAAATGGGAATGGCATAGAGTATGAAACTAATTATTATCTGGAGTACCATGGGTTTTGCTTCATTATTTCACATAGTTCACTACTCTGTATTTCTTAAAAAAAATTAATAACATCCTGCCCCCTCCGAAGAGGCACAGATGACATGTGACTCAGTGGAGGTTCTATAAAGGATGATGAGCCTGGGAGAAGCTTCCAGCTACCTCTGCAGCCCCCCTCACTTGCAAAACTTTGTCACGTAAATGCAATAGAGGCAGGAAATATTTAAAAGTGATTTTTACAACAGTTGGTCTGTCTGAAAAAATACAGAGAATTCAAGAGTCCAGAGACTCAGAAACCACTCTCTCTTTGCAGCCTTAGGTAAGTCAAATACCTTAAGTTCACCAAATTTTCAGCTAACCTGGGTGTTGTGAAGATACAAAATGCTATCTAAGTGGAAAGCAGGTTTATAGATATTAAAATGTAATAATTAAAAGTAAGTCTTTCCTTAGATTATATAACTAAAATCTAGTAATTAAAAAGAAACACTGATACGTAATTAAAGCTGGATAATTAATTCAATTTATTAATAAAATTAGAGTGACTGTCAGAAATTCTCTTCTGGGTGTTGTGAAGATACAAAATGCTATCTAAGTGGAAAGCAGGTTTATAGATATTAAAATGTAATAATTAAAAGTAAGTCTTTCCTTAGATTATATAACTAAAATCTAGTAATTAAAAAGAAACACTGATACGTAATTAAAGCTGGATAATTAATTCAATTTATTAATAAAATTAGAGTGACTGTCAGAAATTCTCTTTTTTTTTTTTTTCATATATATACATATAAGAATTATTCAAACTTATACCTTGCTGCTAGGGAAAGGGAAAGAACAAAATCTGAAATAAAATATTTCTAATTCAAAGTCATCTAAAGTTTAAAAGATTTTTAAGGAGTTGTTTTCCATCTCAGAAATATATTGCTAGTAATAGCATACACTTCTATATTAGAAATTATCTAGTTTATAAAGTCAGTATTTAATTAAACAAATGCATGAATATTACTTTAGAATTGCTGAACAAAAACTTCTAAGGATCAATACTACACATTCTAGCTAAACATATGTCAAATACATTTCATGTTGCACAAACTCTCCACCAGTAAAGAACCGAGAGAGCATAAGGAGGTGACGGAATCCTCCAAGAACTCAGCTGCCATGCCATGGCTTTCAGATTTTTATAAAGAATATTAAAATAACCTAGCAGATCTCATTATTAGTGGTTAAAGTCAGTTGATTAGTCTGAAAAATAAAGCTATGTCCAGAAGAAGTACACCCTAGATTCCCCGTTGTGATCACTATGTTCTCTTTCTCACTACCAGTTCTGTTACGCAAAATGCCAGCAAGCAAAAACTTCCACTCTGAGCTGAAAATGGAACTGCAGACACCTTGCTGGCAGGAGGCATCATACAGCCACTCTCGCTTTGCTTACCATCTGTCGAGCAGCCGCTGGTGCCGTCGCTGGAACAGTAACGCATTTCAATCCTTTGCCTCCCCACCTCTAGCAGATTTGGGTCAGGCAAGCGCGCTTTGCAGGTGTATCGGAAACGCTGCTCATAGTGGCCGCCGTTGTCTGAAATATTGACTGGGGTCCAAGGTGTCCAAGGAGTTGTCTTTTTTAACTCTGGGCAGGAATTGGTGTTACAAGGCTGATACTCCTGAAAGAAAATGGTCCTAATTAATAAAATAATTCAATATAGCTTTAAAAAAACCCTCACAAACCCTCAAAACTGCCAAAACACTAACCAATAAGAAAAGCCTCTGATATTTTTTCCTGCATTTCCAAGATCAGTGATCATCAATAAACTCTGAAATCCAATCTCATTCTGAAAATGTGTTTTGGTTTTTTTTCTGCTTCTAGGCAAGCGAAGTATCACACTGCTAAAAGCAATAATATACCAGTACAAATTAGATCTATTACATCCATAAGAATGGTAAACAAAACACTCTAAGTACCATGATTCAGTGCATGATTTGTAAATTAATAGCTAAGTATGTTAAAGCTTTTAATTAAGTGCAATGCTTATAAACTGCAAGTAGAAGACATGAATAAACAAATAACTTCTTTGTTAAAGCTAGTGGCATATGAAGTAGTGAGCCAATGTCCGTTTTATACATTGTTTATGTATTACATGGGGACAATGGACAAAACATGGTTTCTGTTATGGAATCTGGCCCCCTGAGGTGCATGTTATCCACAGCTCCAGTATAGCTAAACCTACCATCAAAACCAAATTCCATATGAACTGATATGTGCCAAAGGGAACAGGCTACACCTAAGAAACAAATGCAGAATTGCCAATATTCTCAAGCATTGCCAATATTCTCAAGCATATGTGTCTTCCGACAAGTATCCTCAAGATCTGTAGGTCCTGCTGATTCATTTCCCAAAGAACAATATACTTTATCTGATGCAAATGCTTTGTAAACTACGTAGATCAAATTAAACAACCATTACATATCTGAATGAATTCAAACTGACAAATTCAGAAAGATGAAAATAAATCAGCATCAGTGGGAGTTTAAAATCATCTCTCTACCTCTGACCGCTTAGAAAGGTAAACAGAGGAGACTAGCTTCTCAAAAGGAGCCTATTGAGTTTGCAATGCCACTAAATACCACAAAACAGGGACACAGGAGAAATAATGGTTTATTCACACAGTACAACATCCTCCTTCCATAATCCCTACCCCAGCTGACACCATCATGTTCCAACAAGCAATAGATTTCCTGCTCCTCTTTCCCATGGTGGAATTAGCCTTTTACTCACACTTTCTTCACTCCACTGCCTCTTCTCTCAGATGTTCTAATTTATTAATATATCCAGTTAGGCTGAGAGTAGTTGCTCAACCTATATTTTGGTTTTAAGGTTGTGCTGCTATTTCAGATATAAAAGCAACCTCTTTGTCTGAAAGCTTTCCTAATGTTTCCATTTATTAGAGTTGGAAAAATAATTATTCTTCAGAAATTCCTGCCCCAGTAACACATCCATACACTGGAGAACCCAGCACTTTGTTCATGACTCTCATGTTCTGAGGCCAGGTGGGCTTGTGGCAAATTTTCTGATTTCATCATTTTGTGGTACTTCAGGTGTAAAAGAGCTCTTAGCCCAAAGTCTCCAGCCGGACCACTCCTGTTCCATCCTTAAGGCTGTGCACTTCCCATTTTAAAATCTGATGATCACTAGTATGGTGAACACACAAGTCACACTCAGGGACTATCTATGAAAGACAACCTGTTCAGAGCACAGAGGACTAGATCAACCCTTCCAGGATTTGAGTTCCAGCCTTGACTTGTTTCTGGATCAGAAGACAGCAAAGAACAAACAATCAGGTCCTGTTTACAGAAGGGGAAGTAATTCTGTCATGACTTCTCTAGGCAAGTATTTAAATCTTGTATGTTTTAGATTGAGGACAGAACATGTACGACAGGTTTCCTCACAGCACATGAACTGTCAAAAGGAAATAATAAAATTAAGAGGTCCCAGCAACAGCCAGAACCACCCCACCTGCTATCCCAGCTGGCTGTTTACTTCCAATGTGTAGGCCTCTCCAGCGACTGGATTACGGTGCATCTTTTACCAAGAGCACTTGCTGTTTTTCCCTCTTTTTTTTCAAAGGTATCTAGCGCTGACAACTCTATCACCTCCCTGCATCAGCTGTTCCACTATTGAGTAATCCCCAAAGCTAACGAACTGCAAGTTGATTCAAGCCTGTATTTTCCTCCTAATTTAATTTTCCAGTCATTGAATTTTGCTGTGCCTTTATCAACTATACTAAAACTGTTCTGTATCTCATACCTACAAACAAATTATTTCATGCCCAATACATACATAATGATAAATTAAGCTGAACTTCTTAAAGCTACATAGGATTTAAAACCTGACCTTAGTTCCCATGTATCCCTATGTCTTCCTTTTGTCTTAATTTATTTTCCTGAAGAATGGGCACTAAAATTTGACTTAGCACTGTAGAAGCTCTCTTATCAATACAGCATGCAGAGTTCATCATGACTCCGTTCCACTTGACAGTCTGACTTTAATACATACATTGTTACAATAGTGCTTTTTTCTTCCACAACATTGCACAAAGAGCTTAAGTAGACCCAATTATCTCTGATAACCTGTCTTCCTCTAAATCACAGCATTACAACTACATATAGTTTCCTATCCACAAAAGAAGCTACTGTTTGGGAATAATAAAATATGTTTTATTACTTTCTTCTGCAATTATCTAGCATATTATTTACTACTTCAACAATGTCTGTCATGGTCAAGTTTTACTGAAGATGTCTTATATCACTGTCTAGACTGTTGATAAAAATGTTAAGTGATATTGACCCAAGAACTGATGCCAGGCAGACCCTGCTAGACACATCCTAACCATTTATTTCTGTCCATTAACATAACATTTTTCAGTTTGTCACTGAGTCAGCTTTTAATTCATTTAACATCTGCCATATATTTCCATTTTCCAAATCAAAGTATTTTCTGTTGCAGAGGCAAATGTCTTGGAAAAATTCAGTGACAGTTTAGGAGAAGTGCTGTATCATTCATCTTGAAACACAAGCTCTTTTGTAGTAGCACATAAGCAGGAATAATTCAATCAATATAGTATGTACTAAAATTTTTGCTTCAATACAGTTACAATGGCCTTAAAGTTTCAGTTCCTTATGTGCTCTTGATTTTTTAATTAGTATTTTTCAATCAAAAAGAACAACTGCTAGAAATGCTAGGTCTGTCTTTCTGGATATGGGGTAGACAAATGAGGGTCATGAATAGCAGAATGTGTGAGATATGAAATAAACCTTTATTTTTGTCCAGTAAAACTAAGCAATAGAGGAATGTAGCAATTTATTTAAAGCTGCTTTGCTAATACACACCTGAGATGAAGACATCAACTCACTCATTTCTAGAAAGACAGACTGCCAGTAATCAGTGTGCTTTGAGATGTGTAGTCCCATCATACACCCTAATAGAGAGCATACTCATATGTTGGTTGCTACATGAGTCAGAAAAGAAAGCTGTCCCTTAAGTCAGGAAACTAAACAGCCCTTCTTCTGCCAAAAAAAAAAAAAAGTCAAGCGTAGAGACCAGCTGTTAGTCTTTCCTTTCTTCTTGACCAGTGCATAGCTTCTCCCAGGAGAAGACAAAATGGGGAATAAGGACAAAAGACTTCAAGGTTGGAAATAAGAACTAGAACAGGTTTCATGGAACAGGGAAGGAATAGTAACAAGTAAAAAACTAATGATAAATAAATAAATAAATAAACAGACAACCCCCAATTTTGATGGTCACTGATATGAGTCCACAGGACCCTCATGTCAGAACTGACATGGGAAAAAGGGCCAGGTCTCTTCCCAGCAATGCATGAAGTTGGGCTCTGCAAAGCACATGGTGAGCTGAAGACAGAGAGCCAGGATCCTCCATCCCAGATGTCTGCCAGTAGAGCTAGAGGAGCCAAGGGGCAACTTTTCCACCCTTCTGGTGCTTCACAGGTATGGCAGAAAATGGGAGGGAATACTGAGGTCATCTGACCCCTCTCTGTTCTGCCCCCTGGACCTCCTCAGGGTCCTAAGTAACACCTTCTGTGTCCCCTGGGCTTAGCCACCAGAAGTCATCGCACCAACGCAACAAAATTACCTTCTTCTTCCTCCTAAACCAAAACATATGCCTGTCTACTCAGCCACTGGACAATACCCATAAAAAGCTAAGAATGGCAAGGGAAACCAAAGTACATTTAGATTGCCCGGAAAATATGTACAGCAGGAAATAATTTCTCTTTGAGAAAAGTTAGAGGAATATCATAACAATGGATGACTCCATGAAGTTCTGGCACTAATAATGATCTGGTAGAGCCTGCTGGCTTCTCTAACAACAGTGAAGTGTTGAACTGCTCTATCAACTACCGCCTCAGCTACAGAGAGGAATCTAAAATTGCATCAGGCTTGATGAAAGCATTGATGTGATGTGACACTATGAAACTCCATTATAAGCAGAACAATCATCTTGCTCTGAATGGTCTCAGATGTGGTAGTAAGTAAAGGAGGGGAGAGAAAAGTCACCATTCAGATCACACATGGGTATATTTAGTGCTGCTAGCATGAAGACATAGTCTGATTAGAAGGATTTATCAGGGACCAGGAATATGGAAACTGCTATCTGTGCCTGGGTTATTCTTCTCACCTTGTCCAACACTTGAACAATTTACACAAGTGGGATTTCAGGAATACAGCCCTCTCCAAACTAATTTGACCAGCTAGAATCATGGATACAATAATAAAGCGATCACACAGTGGAATAACACTCTCCAATGAAACACTGAGGTCTCATCTCAGCAAAACAGTGGTAAGAATGAAACACAAAAGTAGGGAAGCATTCAATAGGGCTGTTGAAAAGAACCAAGAGTGGCTGTCAAACTCCACCTCATGTGCTGCACGTGGATTGAAGGAAGAGATGGAGAGGAGCTCTCCTTGCAGGAGCCCCTAGATACCCACAGAGAAAAGCGGCAGGGGCTCATGTGATGGGTTTAAGTAAATTAGTTCTTAGAGTATACTTGTGCACTTATAACAAAAAATATTTGAGGCCATTTTAAGACTCCAAATATGTAATTGCAATCGTTCAAACTAAACCACATTTTCCAAGTTATCTTTGTAAGTT